GTAGTTCCTTACCTTCAGAACAGGAGCCCATTATATTTTTAGTTTAAACAAACATTCTAGGCTCTGACAAAGAAAAAGTGTATGCTGGCATGGTGTATACTACAACCATGTGTTGTAGTAAATCATGTTTCTGTTTGATTAATATTTTTAAATTTAAATAGTGTATGTGAGAGGGAAGACAAGGATATATTTTGTGAGGATGGACTTATTCTGACAGTGCTTCCAGTTGTAAGTCAAATTTTTGGCACACCATTTTGGACAATTTATTTTAATTCACCCCTTTCATTTCCAACTATTATGTTCTATTCATAGCATATTAGTATTAGTTACAGCATACTTCCGATAACCATTTTCAATCAATGACAGAGAATTATAAAACAGGGGTACATTTTTAGTGCTGTGATTTAAGTGCAAAACTCCAATCATCTGGACAAGGTGTCACAACTATAGGTCATTCATGGGGGTGGGGGAGAGATATTTGCAGCACTACCTTATTTAGATATTCAAATGGTACTCATCCACGATAGCTAATAAAGGAAGCCTTAGTTTAGCACAACAGGTTTACAGTGCCTTATGCCAATTATGCATTTTATTAAGCGCTATAATACAGGGCACGAACTGAGTGCTATAGAAAGATTGCTATGAAAACCAAAAAATCATAACACAATCCAAAACTGAATTACGTTTTTTTTTTATTCCAATTGAATGGACACTTGTAGACCATAAAGTGAGAATTTAAAATTTTATTTTGATCACTGCATTAATGCAAATATAATGCTCTCACTTTATCTAGAGACATATGCATACACGTTATTCTATAAGCTAGTGACTGCCATCTTTATACTAGTTACCCTATGTAACTGCACACTGTGTAATCCTCATCCTTCCTTTTGTTTATTTAAACCCATTATTGCGTCTCCAGTTTAGATATTAAGTTCCTCAGGGCAAGGACTATCTTTTATTCTGTGTCTGTATAGCACCTTGTACAATTGGACCCTGATCTCAAATTTGGGGACCCTAATACAAATAATACAAAAGTAAGTTTTGACATACCAGTATAAGTAGTTAGCCAGTGTGGAATTCTTGCAGGCTCGGGATATCAAAAAAGTGCAAAGGTCTTGCTAGAATAGAGTAAAAAAAAAAGTTATACAGTAGAGCCTCAAAGCTACAAACACTAGAGTTACAGACTGACCAGTCAACTGGACACCATGTGAAACTGGAAATAACCAATCAGGCAGCAGCAGAGACCTCCCCAAAAAACAGACAGACAAACAAAACAAAACAAACAAACAAACCGAAGTACTCTACTGTGTCTGTATTGCATCTTAAAGGTAGGCACATCTGGGCTGCCTGTCCCCATTCCCTGTCCCCATGTTGCGGGGAGGGATAGCTCAGTGGTTTGAGCATCTAAACCCAAGGTTGTGAGTTCAATCCTTGAGGGGGCCATTTAGGGAACTGGGGCAA